CAAGTTATTTTAGACCCTATAAAAAAATAATAGAATACTTCAGAACTTGACTATACAGTATTTGCATAATATACGTATATGAATATACATATATAATATGTGTGTAAGCAGTTGCAGTATAAATTCATATTATCATAATTATTATAACATTAAAATTATGTTTTAATAGGCACATGAAACTCTGTGGAGGATAGGTCAAGAAGAGGTCAACTCTCTTTCAAAGAAAAAGGTAATTGGTATAAGGAGTTTGTGTACCTAGTATAAAATGAACATTCAGATTTGGAATGTATTGGTCACTACTGAATTTCTGGTGTAAGATTACTTGCAAAGTTGCAGGGATAGCAGGTTTAATGCTCACCTCTCATATGACTACTTTTGGAGCACTCAAGTGACCACTCTCATGTATTTCATATCAATATATGAAGCTTTTACATTTACTGCAAATGTTAAATGATTAGCAATACAAGTATAAGTCTACATGCTTCAAAGCCTGTATTAGGAATATTCTACATATTATTGTATTACTATAGTTAATAGTATTAAAATTTGTATTATTATTGTCATCATTGTTATTATTGATATTAATATTGTTTTGATGTGTGCTTGCATTAAGAAAATATCATGGGAGTGATGTTATGCCTTACCTGTTGGGTTATCATACTGAATACTCAGTACATTTCCAAATATGTGTGAAAAAAAAAGTCAGGTAGGGCAAAACATCATTCATCAATATTAATATGGTTGTTGTTAGTATTAATAGTGATGTGCTACATAAATATTCTTTTTGTGATAAACAGCAATTTCGTTTATGTTTTTTGCCAACTTTAGACTCTGCTTAGCTTGAGTAAGTTGTCAATGTTAGCAAGTGAGAATCCAGTACAGAAGAACATTGATGGTAGGTCAAAAATATAGTAAAGGTTTCCCTCCAAGCAGCTTTCTTCTCTAATTAAAATAATGAAGACCACAGAAAAGTTGTCTTTTATTAGAGGTGGTATGTAATTTGGAGTGGTCTTTAATTAGATGGAAATCTGTATTCATGGTATATAAATCCATTGTGGGGTTTACTTTTGTTTTAACTTGTAAAATCTATGTTACAAAAAACACTAAAGAATTAACTAAGCATTGTAAACACATACTAAGTCCAAACACTTACCAATTTGGTAAGTGTTCAACACTGCATGCCAGTGTTGAAGTTCAAGAAATATAAGCAATTATCGGTTTAATATGACAAGTCACATAGTAAATTTTGTAGTGCATGTTCATTATAATCATTCTCTTTATAATTCTAGAAAAAAAAATCACATTAGATAATACTGTAATAATTAAATAGGTAGGCTGGATTACTGTATGCATGCTTTGACCTTTGACATACATGTGCAGAAGTGAATCTATGAGATGGCTTAATATGTTTTGTTTGTTTAATTATTAGCAATTATGAATTTTTTTTGTAAATTTAATTAATAATTAGCAATTAAAAAATTTCTTGTAAATATAACGTTTTCATTTTTTTCAGCGCCGTTTGATTATTTTTTTATGAATGTGCAATAAATACCTCAAATTAAATTGAAAATTGAATTGAATATGTTTTGTTTATATTTAATATTTGTGTTCTTTATATTTAGATTTGAATACACAGTTGGATATTATACTTCACCAGGAAACATTACCTCAACCTATCTTGCAGGTCAGATTTGAAAATCGGAAAAGAAATACACTTGATTATTACTGCCAAATATATATGACTTTAAAATTTAATTAACGTTATTTATAACAAAAGTAGGTAACAGTTATAAGATTAATGAAAATTACCTATAGGGAGTCGAGGAGATGTTTCTTAACATCTAGTTTTATTGTTTTGACCAGGAGCTGAATATGGAACTAAATGAAATGCCACCCATGGAGCCAGCCAATCTTATTCAGGTAGCTTTGTCTTTTATAATTTTGTTTTAGTTTATCTTTGTGTCTATATCCATTGGTAACTATGGATGGACAAAAGCATGGCAGCCTTCTTTGCTTTGTGTTAATCTACGTAAATATACAGTCGTGATGTGATGTCATCTTGACCATATTTAGGCATGTCAAATATTGTTTTTTTTAAATAAAATTTGGTGGGTCTTGGACCGGACCAGTGGCGGCGCTACGGGGGTTTGAGGGAAGGAAAACCACAATTCGTCGGGGAGAAAGAAATTTTCAAAAAGATTATATGTATTTTGTACATATTAATAGACTCTAAAATCGATTAAATTAGACTTTATACCCCTACATTTTCATATTTTCGGGGGACTACATCCCTGGATCACTTTTGAAAGGCTTTTATCGACGCCCGATATTCATCCATCAACAACAGAACACAGTAATACAAATGTAAATTCATTGTTTTAATATCTGTACAAGTTTTGTACTCGCACACTATACTGTCTTTACCGTGTCTATTTGGCAATTCTAGATAAAACAAATTATGAAAATATACAAAAATAGGAGCCGTTTGAATTTTAAAATTGTACAAATCGTGAAGTACATTTAAAAAACTTTTCCTTCAATTCTTTTTAATGCTTTTTTAAGCTCTGGAAACTCAAGTCTCATAGCGTTTTCTTGAAGGATTCAAAAATGTGTTTCAAGTAGTAATGTTGCGAGATCATACATAGTGTATTATATCCCTTCAGGCCCTAGGCTAGTGTAACCTACATTTGAAGTGCATTGCACCACTAATTACATGTCTTTAAAGATGATAACAATGGACAACACTAGTATATTTTTATTATCTGTTTAGCTTACTGTACATACATACAATTTCATCATGAAGATTGTTTGCTTTCAATAGTTGTTTCATTGCTGTTTCTTTCAATATTGAAATTGTAGCGGAGAATTGTTTGTTATTAGGCCTTCACTTGTTTGTTTTTCTTTTTCTTTTGGCAAACTAAGATTTGTAAGGTGCTCTGTTGTAGAGCGCCTTATAAGACGCCTTATAAGAATGTCAAAATAAATAAATCGATTGTAGAGAAGTGCAAAGCACCAACACTAATCATGTGTCTTTGTAGACTTTAGAGGATAACAATGGACAACTGGAGTGTATGAAGATTGTTTGCTTTCAATGAAATTATGGTTGTTTCATTGCTGTTACTTTCAATATTGAAATTGTACTTTATAGCATTTCCAAGTAATGCAATCAACAGAAGATTATGATATGTTTACTTGTTGACTAAGAATGTGGCAACATAATTATCCATGAAACAATCATCATTCAAAGACAGTTGCATGAATTTGATAATGTTCTTACCACAGCTAGTGAGGTGTGGCACACTAGGCGAGTTTCTACTGAATATCGAGAAAGAAACGGTTCTCTTTTCATTGGTTGATTACCAGATTAGCAAAATAAGAACCGCGTTGCAACTGTATTTTGACTCCACATGAAACTGTTACCGTCTGATATTCTACATTATACATGACCTTTATAATAATTAAGTTTTAACAAGGCAACTATATTTTCGCACAACTATCAAGATACAAACAATGATGATTCATCCTATCATCTGAATACCATATGTTGATATTCAAATTAAACCGTGGTTAAACTTTTGTTCTCACAGTACTTAACAAATGAGAATATTTCATTGTCTTGTTAACAGAAGCTTAATATTTATTTTACTGATTCCTCTTAATAATAAATTATAATATCGTTGGTACTGTCAGTGATAGGCCTACTACTGTATCACTGAATGGACTGGTGGAAACTACGAACTTAAGAAAATGTCCAAAGGTAAAAGCGTGTAGGAGACCTATATTATTGATATGAGAAGTATCTGATAAAAATGAACTATCAATTACGTCCATTTCAACAATTCTAGTGGTACTAAACATAGGCCTAGCCTATTGGCTAATTTGACCGTAGGTCAAATTAGGCTGCTATTTATGTTGGAGCTAAAAACTACCCCACAAAGAAGGGTTCTTTTGTTCGAAGAATGGTTCTTTGGCGTTTCCGAAACGGTATTGATTCCATGCCAAAGAACTTTGGGAAGCCAAAAAAAAAAATTTTCTTTTTGTAAGCCTTGTTTCTACTGCCACAAAGAACAGTTCTTAAAAGAACGGTTCTTTCTCGTCAGTAGAATTAGGCCCACTCCTACTATATTTCTCTGTTGGTAACTTTTGGTAAATTATCTGAATATTATCCATGTAAAACAGCTGATGATTCAGATTTCTAAATTTACTCTCTAATTAGTCACCATACATTGGCTTTAGAGTTCAGTTCTATTCCATCTTCTGGTCTCTGTGTTTCAGCTAGAGTAGGGATTGTCTCTCGATGTACTGTCCAATCACCATCAGGAGAACCCGACTGGAAATAAGGTTTCGGACTTCCGTGGGTTATCATTCATGTCCAATCCATTTAAATTTATCACTACAAGTTGCCATCTGGATAAAATATTTAGAATTGATTTTATTTAATTCAATTCCAATCTTTCCTTATTCTGGAAATATTCTTTTAATACAAAAGTACTGGTCTCCCAAGAACTCCAGATTGAACAGTAGAGAGCATTCGATTGCATAACAACGATAAGACATGGAACATAAAGTCATCTGTGCATGCAAAAACGTTTTCGTGATCGTGTGGATTCTAGGACGAAATTTAGCCAAATCTACGTTGTGCAAAGAATGCATGAGTCTGTTGTAGTGTCACGTCATCGCGTAAATCGAAGGCAAAATAAATATGTTGAAAATATATTATCAGTTATTGTACTTTCAAATTTAATAGCTTTACATCAGTGATGCTAACTGCGATGCAAATGAGTATGACTTTAAGAAGGCTCTGGACCTACTGCAGTTTGTCTCGCAAGATGACCCCACCTACCATACACTCAAACTTAACATCTGGTGCTCAGCAATACTTAAGGACCAGTAAGTCAGACTCTGTTTTATTTCATTAATCCTTTATTCTAATAGGATTATTTGGTTATTGCAGCTGTCCAAAGACTTGCAATTCAGCAAAAAAAAAAAAAAAAAGAAGTGTTTAAACAGATCTTCCAGATGTAGCTTCTTCCAACTTGCGACCTGCCTTTGATTCACTGTACATATTGCCTGTGTCCTTGGGCAAGCTGCTTTATCAATGGGTGTCATTCCCTCTATTAATGTGTTTTTTTCTTGTTTTATTTATGTATCCATTTTTTTGTTGTCTTCTTATCCTCATTCATTTGCGCTATACAGTATATATATCCATCTATTATTATTATATAAGATGTCTGTTATTTTCTCCAGATGGTCAGGAGTGGAGGGCATTGATCCCATCTCAAAGTGCAAGCAAACTGTGTTTTTCAAAACACTTGAAATGGCCCTTGCAGAAGGTAAATATAAGAACCATTGCAATTATATAGTTTTGAAAATTATATTTATTGTTTTGCCCAACTACATTGTCACTAAAAAGGAAGGTCGATGGATCAAAATGTTGATTTTCCAACTCTAGCTTTTAAAAATATGATATCAATCTGGCTTGACTTGGTCAGTACAACATTTTCATATGATAAAGTGATATAAAGGTAATATGTTTCAAATGTTATAAGGAGATTTAAATCTTTATTTTAGATGTATATTTGTAATAATTATGGGCTATGTTCTCACACAGCTGCTAACGGTTAGCAGGATCCGGATCCTGCTAACCATTAGCTGCTGTGCGTCCATCCGAGAAAATCCGGATACCAAAAATATGATGATCGAATCACTGGCCAATAAGAAACTGGAAATTGTAAACGCATACGTGTGATTGGTTGATGATAGAAACACGCTCACTTGCTAACCGATAGCGCTTGCTAACTGTTAGCGGTATCCGGATACCACTAACGGTTAACGCTAACCAATCGGGCGTTCTCAGGCAGGTGCTAACAGTTAGGGCTAACGGTTAACTCCCGATCCGGATACTAGGGCTCTCGTGAGAACCAGGCTATAATCAATGTTAATTAATAATATAATAATTATTAGTATTGATATATAGGTAGTAATGTTATAAATATAGGTATTGAATAGTAAATATACTAATGATAATGTATGTAAAATTATAATTATTATAACTAATATTAATAATAATAATAATTATTTAATAACATTGATTATAGTTAATTATAATTAATGTATTTGATGCTCTTTTAAAGGAATGACAGATGGAGAATTGCTTCCAGATGTAAATACACTGTTGTCGTGCCAACAACTTGATAGGTTGCATGATGATAGACAGTTCAACTTCTTAATCAAAGCGGCTTTCGAACATCTGCAGCGACCATGTCTGTGAACTACTCGCTGAGGCGACCAAATCCTATACCAACTCACTGCAGTGACCCAAGTCCTTTAGTGACGCACTGTAGTCACCAAGTCTTTGAACGACTCATTGCAGATTAATAGATGCATCACGGAGCAATCATAGGAATAGATTTTCCTTGGGATCTGGAGCAATGGTAGAGCCTAGAGCCTGCTGGGGATGGGGGAGAAGGGAAGTGTGCCATGATTAATTAATAATGTGACACATCATGGAAAAATCACATGAATAGATTTTGCTTGGATTCTATGGCAATGGTAGAGCCTAGACCCTTTTCTGGATGTGGGGAGAAGGGAATTGTTCCACGTTTAATTAATAAGTCTATGTGATACATCATGGAACAATCACAGGAATTGAGATTTAAGGAATATTGTTGAATATGAAAAAGAATCCTTGAAATTTTGCATCAGAGAGTAAAATTAACTCTTCTATTGGCATTTATTTAATGTAAAAGTTCATTGCATAATGTGTCACATAATGTGTTCACTGCATAATATATGAGGTTACCATCCCAAAACCAGCTTACTATCTCTAGTTGTTAAACTCTGTAATTAGCATAAGAATGTGCCAGTATTGTATACTTTTGTACAGAGAAGCTGTAATACTTTTACTCATAACGTTGGCAATAATAAGTCGATTGGTTACTGGTGCTGGTTTTTGCATGGAAGGACACATCATTGTTTTTATAATAAACTTTTTCGTCATGAAGTATAGGACCCTATTTGAAATGCTTGGACACCTGTGAATTTCTCAACAATTATTTTTGACATTGCAGATTTCTAGATCAATCTCAAATGAAATAGCATTAAATTGTGTGAAAAAAAAAACTTGTTTATTATTGTAGTCGTTGCAATCATTTAATTACCTCCGCCAAAGAAGGTTAATTATGTAATAATTACTGCTTTTATGTCTGTTAGCAAGATTACGCAAAAGCTAATGAATGGATCATCATAAAATATAGTGGACTGGTGCATAATATTTGAAAAAGGAGATTGTTAATTTTTGTAAAGAAAAGGTTGAAGGACAAGGCCAAAGTCACATAAATTTCATTGTTTACCCTAAACATAAAAGATAATAATGGAATGGCCCATAATACACAGTCTGTGTATTGTTAGGTATTCAGGTACAGGGCACAGTTATGCACTCCGTAGAGTGACTGCTCTAGTTTGTAGATACCTCTCATCCTAAAAATTATTATTTACCAGTGAATCTGTCCCTCAATGACACTATTAAGTGAAAAGGCTATATAGCTAATGTGAAAAAAAAGAGAAAAAAATAATTGGCAACTTTTTCTTACTTTACTCCTACTCTGAGTTCTTAACGTTTTTTTTTTAAATATGAATTATTAACTTGCCAGTCTTCTCTGGTTTTAAGTGTGTATATTTATTCTTATTACTTGATACTGTTCTTGTTAATAACGTATTCTCTGTCATAAGCTAAACAATTGAAATTTATTTCTATTAAGTTACAATTAATAATTTGAATGAAAAAAAAATCCAAGATAGTTAAATATACCTTTCTTATATTCTTGTGCATGGACCCTTAATATCAGTTGTAATTTATTCATAACTTACCTCCAGGTAGAACACACAGAAATTCAATATACCATAGTGTACATCATGGAGGAATTAGTTGGTGTACATCTAAATATAGTATGTACAGAATTACAAACGGTTGACCGAGAAGTATTGTTCCTGCTTATTGTGCTGTGACTCCAGTGCAGACCCGGACAGCATCTGTTTTTAATTGGGAGTCAGATTGCTTAACAAGATGAACATATTTGTATCCATATGTTTGTATCCGTTTTGGTCTAATGGGGTATGATACTTGCTTTGAGCGAGCAGTAGCAAGTTCGAATCCAGCCAGAGACGCTTTTCATACAACTGAAATAAAGGAACTTTCCGTTGATGAGATATGCTTAATACAATTATTAAAACATGTTCCTATGTTGTTTACTTTGCTATGCAGCACATTTGATTTGGACATCATTTATAATGATTTTCTGCTGCAAACTACAAGATTTTCTAGCTTAGAGTTCCACTATGTGTGTGAGCGTTTCAGTCAGTTGTATGAGAGAAAGTGCCTGGGGGTTATATCTTTGCTTATGTCCTGTAGGTCCCTGTTGTATGATGGGAATAATACTTGCCTCGATAGTGAGAGGTTGCAGGTTTGAATCCTGCCAGACTTTTTTTTTCCATAAAACTGAAATACAGAAACGTTTAGTTGAACTATGCTTAGACACGATCACAGACCTTATATTGTATAGAGGGTCTGTCATACAATCATGTACCAATTCAAACACTGCTATTATTTATATAACTGTATATA